AAAAAAAAAAAAAAAAGGTTGGGGGACCAGGTTTGCTGGTCTGTTAGAGCCTGGTGGAACCACTGAGACTATGGCCCCTAGCTGCCCTTCAGTTCTGGAATTGAACCCACACCTGTGATTTCCAGCCAAACAGAAGACAGAATATGAATTGAACATTTACCTGAGGTAGATACACTCCTTGGAGAGAACAATCATTGAAAAGAAGGGCTGCCTATGCACAGGGAGACAGCTTAGGGAGCAGGAGTCCATGGAGGTATGGACACTGGGAAGAGGTAGCTATGGGGAGGAAGTGGGACGGGAGCTGTTGCATTGTGGTAAACTATGGTCAATGTCACAAGACAAAGTATATGTAAACTGCTATATGGAAAGTGAATTTGCTCTGTAAATCTTCACCCAAATCATAATTAAAACAAAAATGTTATTGTCATAAAAGACAAAATCTGTAGGAAAGTTAATCAGATTAAAGAAGTCTAGGTGTTAGTAAAGAATGTTGGTGAAGAATATTGAATAGATCATGGACTGCCAGATAATGAACAAATCTGCCTTGGAAGAAGTACAGCCTTCCTTAGAAGCAAGTATGGCGAAACTTGGTCTCACGTACTTTGGACATGTTACCAGGAGAATCAGTCCCTGGAGAAAGGACATCATGCTTGGTAAGGTAGAGGGTCAGTGAAAAAGAGGAAGGCCCTTTATGAGATGGATTGACGGAACGGCTGCCAACAATGAGTTCAGACATAACAACTGTTGTGAGGATGGTGCAGGGCTGGATGGTGTTTTGTTCTTTGGTGCATGGGGTTGTGGTGAGTTGAAACCAACTTGATAGCACCTAACAACAGTAACGAGGAGACATGACAACCAAATACTTAATCTAAACTGGCTCCTGTACTATAAGGGGGAAATATTATAAAAGACAGTATGAATAAACAGAATTTGATATATAGTAGATTGAAATTTTATAGTTTAATTTACTGAATTTGATGATTACTATGGTTAAAGTAGGGAGCTCTGGTAGCATAGTGCCTAAGGCACTTGACTGCTAGCCAGAAGGCTAGCAGTTCAAACCCACCAGCCACTCCTCGGAAGGAAGATGGGGCAATCTACTTCTGAAGAGATACTGCCTCGGAAACCCAAGGAGGGGTCACTATGAGTTGGATCTGACTCGACGGCAAATAACAACAACAACATGCAGGGGGTACTGTGCCCAAGACCATACAGGGTTGGCAGACAATGTTTCTACAAGTGTAAGTGTTCTGTAAGAATTCCCAGGTATATAGTAGAGCTGACAAGGGATAAGGTTGTAGTCACTTTTTGGCCACAGTCAGCTATCCAGACAGAGCAAGTAGTTGAAACTGTGGGCTTGGGACCAATAGCCACAGGGGACGCCAAGCTCAGTTGGCCTAACATACTACACAAAACATTGTACCACCTCCTACTTTGGCAACTAGTGACTGGGATCTTAAAACCTTGCAAGAAGCCATCTTGATGCAATGATGGGTCTCTCTTCATACAGAACAAAGAAGAATGAAGAAAAACAAAGATTCACGGAAACAATTAGTCCAAGCGACTGGTACACCATGCGATCCTCAGCCTACACGACTGAGACCAGAAGAACTAGATGTTGCCTGGCTACCACTGTCAACCACTCAGAGGGGGATCCATGTAGAAGATCCTGGATAGAGTGGGAGAACAACATGGAACAAAACTCAGAATCATTTGGAAAAAAAAAAAGAAAGGGACCAGGTTTGCTAGTCTGATAGGGCCTTCTAGAACCACTGAGATTATGGCCCCTAGCTGGCCTTCAGGTCTGGAATTGAACCCACTCCTGTGGCTTCCAGCCAAACAAAAGACAGGCATATGAGCTGAACATTTACCTGAGGGAGATACACTCCTTGGAGAGAACAATTATGAGAGATTAGAAGGGCTGCGTATGCACAGGGAGACAGCTCAGGGGGCAGGAGTGCATGGAGGGAAGTACACAGAGAAGAGATAACTATGGGGAGGAAGTGGGAGGGGAGCTGTTGGATTGGGGTAAACTGTAGTCAACGTCATGATACAAAATGTATGTGAGCTGCTGTATGGAAAGTGAATTTGCTCTGTAAACTTTTACCCAAATCACACATACACACAAAAAAAAGATACCGTGATCCTTCAATGTACTGCCTGTGTTTACAGTGTTTATTTTAATTACAAAGCAGAACATTCATGTGATTCTGAGTTTTCTGACTCCCAGATGCTCATCAACAGCTCAGAATGCAGTTTCTATTTGACTCAGAAACTTCGAAGATAAGTTTAAAAAGAGTACAACCCTAGACACAACTGTTAAGTTTGTTTTCAATGCCTGGTCTAGGCTTCCTTTCTACCTTACCTGGAGGCACCCTTCCAACATCAGACACCCTGCTGGTCTATTCCCTTGACTTCTATCACAAGGCAGGCTATGTTAATCCATTTCTGACTGGTTGATGTTTTCAAACATACTCATGGTAAAGCAACTCAAACAGCTATTTTTGTTTTAAGTTTATCATCTCTGATTATGCAATGAAAAGCTTTCTTACTTTATCAAGAAATTCCTTACTTCCTCTAATTATGTTTAGATGTTTCTAGGCCTGAGGGTTTTCGAAATCATAGTAAGTCTACTCAAACCATCTTTAAAGAGAGATAATCACATTCTTTTAGAATGACTTTGCTACTGGATGGAGTTGGAAGGAGACAGCCATTGCTTTTTCAGTGCTAGGAGTAGAGGATGGGGAAGAGGAAGGCAGGGCTATAATATTTATGGAACACTAGTCAGGCACTTTACAACCTTTATCTTAGGTAATACAAACAGCTTCATAAAATAAGTATCGTTTACATTTTTAAAAGAAATAAATACTCAGAAAAGTGAAGTAAATCACCTAAATTCTCCAAGCTAGTAAAAAAGCCAAGTAAGGATTCACTATTCCTACTGCCTAAGGCACTTGACTGCTAACCAGAAGGCTGGTGGTTCAAACCCACCAGCCACTCCTTGGAAGGAAGAGGGGCAATCCACTTCCATAGTGATTCTGCCTCGGAAACCCAAGGAGGGGTCGCTATGAGTCCAGTCTGACTCGACGGCATATAACGACAACAGTAGACATTAATGCAGTCTACTATCTACTGTACCATGCTGATTCCACATTTCTTCTGTACTAACTATGGGTCTTCTTTAAAGTCTCCAGCTCTCATACAATACAGCACCTGGTCTACATTCCCTAATCTTGATGCAATCCTAGGCCTCCGGAATGTACATTGTTTCATTTCTGACTCAAATGGTTCTGTTAAAATTGAGGGCTGGAAGTTAAGGTAGTACTATAACTGCCCTTGAGTGTCTCTTTTTTTCTATCATTTAGAATACTATGACTCTCATAATATTTAACCTAACTTTGCATGGAAGATTCTGATGGAGTAATATGTTATAGAAAATAGTCTCCTTGTTAACTGAGGTATGTATTTTTTGAGCTACTTATTCAGGTAATGAACACTAAAAGTTTTGCGTTCCTAACTTGCGTCATCAAGATGTGTTTACACAAACCAAACAGTCAGTAAGAGCCTTTCCTTAAAAAAAGCAGATGTGCTGAAGTTTTTCCAAAATACCACCAATAACTGCAGCTTTCTATCTTTAATATGAGAATATGGTGTTTTTAAATTGTGTAATTGATGGGTTACTTGCTTCTCTTGATAGTTACCACAGTAAGTGTATTAAAGCCAGCTCTTCCAAGAAGACGTCCTAGATCACTGACAGCAATGAAAGGAGAGATGTGTGGAGAAAATCCTCCTTCCCTTTCCGTTTCTGCTAACTGTAAGGAACACCGAAGTTCATAGAGTGTGTCGCCTCCAAACATTGCACCAATAAACACTCCATCTGGTTTTAAAACATAATGAATCTGTAATAAATATAAGACAACAAAGCTAGTCACAATTTTATATGTAAAACTGTTCAAAGAATAAATACATGGTGTTTAAGTCAATATTTTATGATTACCATTAATTTGCGAGGCGATCAAATTAATAATCTGATAATCTAATAAATAACCTCTAAGGCAACTGTCACAAAGTCTTTGATGTACAACAGAGCTGTGAACATAGACAATACATTCACTAATAATATTAATAGATAAAATAATCAGTTGTATGTTTTCTAATTTGCTAATAGTAAACAGGTCTTACTTTTTTAATCAAAAATACTAAAAGGAAAAAAAAATTTAAGTGTGGTAGATTGTTGAAAAAAAATAACAATCATTTCTGTATTTTTTCCCTTTGAAATCATTTTATAACAATTCTCATCAAAAGATTGAATCTATTTCCCATTCTTTGAATATGAGCTGGCCTTGTAACATGATTTGACTAAGAGAATGCAGAGAAAGTGACAATGTGCTAGTTACAAGCCTAAGTCTCAAATAGTCTTGGCTGTTGCTAACCTGCTCTCTTAGAACCCTACCTAATCACTACGTTATGAACATGGCAGAGCTAGCTTGGTGGAGGATGAGATATATGAGGAGCAAAAGCCATCAGCAACCTAGATGAGACTAGCCTAAACCAGACAGCTCTAAGACAATTTGACAGTTGACCACAGACACATGGATGAACCAAACCAGACTCAGAAGAACTTGCTAAGCCCAGCCCTGTAAAATGATGAGCCAAGTAAATAGTTATTGTTTCAAGCTACTACAGTAGGTTGGCTTGTTATTTAGAAAAAATTAAATTATATGTTTCATAGCCATTAAACTGATAACACATTAATTTTCTTTAACTTATTTTCTAGCTTTATAACAAAAAGGTTTTTTACATAATATATTGTTTGTTGCTAATGAAAATGGACACAGTAGAACATATACCAATTCAACAATTTCTGTAGTAAAAGTGATTACACTCTTTATCTTTTGCTACCATTCTTACCCCTGCTTTTCTGAACTGCTCCTCTCCCATAAACTGCCGGCACCTTAAGCTTCCTATCTAACTTTCTGAGATGCAATTATCAATTTCATCTCATTACAGGTAGTTCTTTAAAAGAGCACAATGATCAAGGTGGACATTCTTCACAATTAAGCTAAACTTGATTTAAAGAAAATTTCAAGGGATATTTTTGGTCTACAGTTTGAAGTCTATCTCAGGGTAATAGTTTCAGGTATTCACCCAGAAATAGCTCCAGAAATGCTGGATTCCATGAAAATTTTATCTTCTTTTCCACATTTCCCCCCTTTTGATCAAAGATTTCGCTATAGAATCTTTGATCAGAAGTTCAGTAATAGTAGCCAGGTACCATACAGTTCTGGTCTCATAGCAAAGGAGGCAGTTGTTCATGGAAGTAATTGGCCATATATTCCATATCCTCCTCCTATTCCCAACTCTCCTTCTTCCTCTGTTGCTTCAGGAAAATAGAGATCAATTGTTGTACTTTAAATGGCTACTTGCAAGCTTTTAAGATTTCAGGCACTATGCAACAAACTAGGAGGTACACAGATGCACTAAACATGTTATTGGTCAATTAAACAGGAGCATCCCATGAAACCATGATCCTAAACCTCCAAATCAAGGAATACAATCCTATGAAGTATGTGGTTGTATATAAACAGCCTCAGCAGGTACTCTACTGTTACTGTTGGAAATAAATAAATTTATATATCTATATCTATATATCACAGAAACAATTATTAATTGATAACATAAGCAAAACAATGGCAAGAGTGAATTCCACAATCACAAATGTTTGCTCATGGACTCTCTTAGACTATAAATCTGTAACTAGTGATGAGTCTGTCTATTCTCAACAATGAGGACTATCACAGGAAAGAGGCAGGTTCTGATATAAACCAGAACGCAAATCATAGTAGGTTCTTCTAATCATAGCATCATCTAATTTATTTTAATATACTGTGACGCAATTACAAAAGAGTACATAAGCAAACCAATGGTAATATCTTTGGCCTCTTCTCTTCTCTTTTAGTGTTTCGCCCTTATTTTGTAACTAAACTCTAATATAAAAAGTACCTAGGATTTAGCCTTAATCTTTCTGTAGTCTCTCTATATCAGACAGCTTATCAAGATCCCATGGGTTTCACAAAGATGACTTTCTAATCTCTAGCTTCATGCTGGACATCTTCTTGGACCTCTAAACTCATCTTCAACTGCCTATTCCATGGATACTTGTTTCTTTGCAAACTCAATCCCACCCACCACATACACATAAAACCTACTTTCAAACCAACTCCGCTTTCTAACTGCTATATTTCCATGAATAATAATTTTCTATGCCCTTGATCTGGTCATTACTATTCTTCCTCATACTTTCACTATTTATTCTCCCAATCATCCAAACTCAGAACTCCAAGCTGAGCTTTGATGCTTTCCTCTCTTTGCATCATGCAATTGAACCAATCATCTAATTGTTCATTTTCTGCTGTCCCAAATACTTCTCTCTTTGATTTAACTGAGTGGGAGACAGCAACAGTCACCATAAGATACAACTAGACCCACAACTCCTGCAACTTCACTTACTGAGCAAGAGCCACCTCCTCCTTCTCCACCAACAGCCCAATGATAAAAAATCACCAAAAAGAGCCTGAATCACACTTGGCTGCACTTCACAAACAGTTAACAAAGATCTTAATACAACAATACAATGTCTCGGAGACAAGAGACCATCACAGTCCACACAAATAAGCAGGATAAAGTGGTAGAAACAAGGGACCAGGATACAGACCCAGAACATATCTCTGAGGAAGCAGCAGCATTGGAACTCTCTGATAAGGAATTCTAAAGAATTATATTTAGGTATCTTAAAGGATTGAGAGATAGACTAAAGAAAACACAGAAAAAACCTTACAAGAATTTTGGAAGAAAATATAAGAATAAAATGACAAAATAAATG